CTACGCTATACCGAATTCTATTGGCTGGTAGCCTCTGCCCACGCAGTGGTACGTGGATGCTTATCGGATGTTAGCCTTTGCGTTAAGAATGATAGCTTCTGAACCAAGAATGATAGCTTCTGAACTAAGGATGTTAGTGTTTGCGTTAAGGATGTAAGCGATTGCGTTAAGGATGTTAGCAAGTGAGAAATGGTATAGAAAATGAAGCAACAAGTTAAAACAAAGTTTTGCATAAAATTAGGTAAAACGGCTACGGAGACGTATGAAATGCCAGTGGAAGTGTACGGCGTTGAATCAAAGAGTAAAAGGTTAGCGTTTGAGTAATTCAACATCTTAGAGACGGAAGGTAAGGTGTCGAAGATAAGTCGCGTTCGGGTCGACAGTCAACAAGCGTAGTTTCAGACATTGAACGAGTGCGACGGGTGATTGCGGATGATTGGCGATTATTTTTGTGAACGATAGCAGAAGAATTTAAGATAAGCAAAGATAGTGTAAGCAATATTGTTTACGAAAGTTTTAAAAAGCGGAAGATTTGTTCTTGGCTTGTACCACACACGCTGACAGACTTGATCAACTGCCTCGCACAACGCAAGGTGACATTTTTTCAATACCCTTGTTATTCTCCAGATTTGGTAGCGACAAAATGCTTTTTCTTTAAATTAGTCCAGAAATGATTCTTAATTCCAAAATTTTAGAGTACAAATCGGTATTCTATAGGCTTGTATATAGACAAGGTTTCGCGCTTGACACAAGAAGCTCTTGTGCCAAAGGCGAAACGCTGTCCATATACATGCCTATAGAAAACCGATTTGTATTATAAAACTTTGGAGTTATGACATCCCAGTCAATTCCAAGTTTATTCCCAGATATTGAATAGCCCAGAAATGCATACGTCTCATAGACGGTGCGGGTATTCAATAATACGTGACCAAGGGGCGTCGAAAGCGTTCGCTGACGATTTCTAACAGCTTTACAGCCAATGTCAGAAGTGTGTTGTAGCTAATGATGATTCCTTTGAACGCTAGTAAAGGCGCCATGTTTGTAACTACAAGAAAGGAAGAAACGTCGTGGAGTGCAAGAGTGGGAGAGAGCAACACTGCAACTCTTTATTCTTTTATTTTCTTAGACCAACAAACTTCTCGGACGCACCTTGTATAACCGACAAGGAGTACGGAGTTGGTGAAGGTAAAAACGATGAAGGTGACAGTAATGGGTTGATGGATGCTTGGTAGAATCGAGTAGGTGACGGACGCATTTTTCAAAAACGGTGTGACACTACTCCAGTAGCAAAATGGAAGTCAGACATAGTGGTTCGGAAATAAAGATGGGGTAGATTCATGCATGCCAGGAGTCTGACCAAACTATGAGCAGTGTCGGCAACATCTGTGAGTTGAGCCGTCGCGCATCGTCGAAATCAGACCACATGACTGATTAACTCAACTCTGACCCTAAATACCTACTGGCCGTAGATCTGGTATTATCAGAGTCTTGGTATGTGCATACCTTTGGAATCCGTAGTTCGGTAGCCGAAGCTCTATCGCGATACCGCCATTTTGAATGAGTAATACGGATATGTAGCACACAATACCCCACTGGAGTGCGAAGCATGAGCGAATGGCAGCTGTTGGAAGATCAGGCACAAGGTAGAAAAAGTAAAGAACCCGATGAGATAACAGTTTGCGAACAAAGAAGGGTTCAAAATAGGAGTGTAGCAATGAAAATCAGAGGGGTTCTCAAGGGATGGAGAGCACAAGCGGGCTCATAAGCTCGATAATTTTCTAAATTCTCACAACAGCACTCACGAAAATTGGAGCGCGATATGTTGATAAGATATGCCAGTTAGTTCAGTTCAGCTGAACAACTATGATCCGAGCGCCGAAGTGCGGTGGATCCAGTTGCCACGACTCACATAGTAAGAACAACAGTAGATAACGAAAGTAGAACAGTGCGTTTGGGTGTAAAAAGAATGTAGGGAAAATAGAAGCAAGAAGGAAATGCGTTAGATTAACCAGAATTGGACGAAAATTAACAACCAGATGCAAGGAACTGAATGGAGGAATGTCACTGACTGCGTGACTGCGTCATGTTTGACACACGCTCCAACCATTGGTGTGGACTAACCCGAGGTCCCCATTCACGAAGACGGCACGCACTAGCCTGACCAAGTCTCAGACAATTTTTTCATGCCTCTATGCCACATCATGGATTGGCCACCTCGACGTTGCGTCTAGCCTGATGCGGCCACGGCATATAATGCACGCCGAGGAAGCCAATCAACGGGCAAACGGAGAACACGGCTTAGTCGAAGAAAGCGAGAAAGATTTAACAAACACTAAATCAACAACAGCAGTAGATCAATCATTGTTACTGATACTTCCCTGCCATACAACCAAGATGACCTATTGAATGAAGGGGGAGAGAGGGGGGACTGAGTTGAAAACCTTAATGTCATAAGCAGACATTCAGTGTCAAGGTGCCTACATCTTGTGTTAACAACATACCGTCAAAAAACAGCTGGCTATCGCGCAAAGATAAGGCGGCATCGGCGAAACAGCTTCCTTGCGGCTTTCACTGCCCCGCGTCATAATCAGTTATTACCCCGCAGATAACGCAGCACCAAATACACTTTAAACAGGCAGTCCGACTAGGAGAAGGCAGCAGACGCGCCACTGCTGTCGGCTGCGAGCTATATTCTGTAAATTCTCAAGCCAAGCGCAAGGAGAGTCAGGTGGACTCCAGCTCGGAAGGAAACACTCAGATGAGGCTCCAGGCGGCTTTTGCCAAAAGCAAACCGGCGGACCTCAGCATTGCTCTCCTGGTGTTCTCAATTAACGTGAACAATACTTCGCAAGCACCGGTGGTCAAACACGGTCAAGTGTTTAATGTCTTCGTCGCGAACTGGTCAGGTCTCTGATCCGTACAGTAAAACCGGCATTACTGCAGCGTTATACACCCTACATTTCACTGATAAGCTGATATCCAGCCGTCTCCATAGAGGACAGAGTCTCGGGACAGTCACAAGGGCCTTGCTTATGCGCTATGTAACCTCAATGATGTGACCAACAGAGGTGGCACAGCTGCCAAGGTAGGTAAACTGATCCACCACTTCCAGTGGCTGTTCGGAAATAGTTAAAACCGAAGGTGTGTCGGCCCAGTCATGCAACAGCACTTTGCACTTTGAAGGTGTATGGTACATGTTGGAGTGAGAAGCGTTACGAACAAGACAATGCAGTAGTGTTTGCATAGGCAATGCATTAGACCCAAGGAGAACTATGTTGTCCGCATACTACAGGTTTGTCGATCGATCAAATGGCAGAAGTTGTACTCTAGAATAGTCTGAAAGAACCGAGTCATTCATGAACATTTCAATCACAAAGTTGAACAGGAAAGAATATATAGAACAACCCTGGTGAAGCCTGTTTGTAGAGTGGAACTCAGGAGATAGTTTGCCGTAGACCCTTACACGGCCTCGGGAACCACGGTAGAGGGACTTCAGGATGGAAAGGAGTTTAACTGGCACGCCGTGATGTGATACACCGACGAGTTTGTTCATCTCTACTTTTTTAATCCGTGAAATAAGAAGGAATTTAGCGGGTACGATGAGGCGTTTAAGTAATGTCTCGATGCTAATCTGAGTCTCGAAGGCTTCCGTCATGGCGGATCCTAATCACTAATGCATCCGAACTTGAAGCATCCATTCAGGAATACCGAAATAATTGAGGCCAGCTGCTACCGCAAATTTTGCAGAGAACGCAAAAGAAATGAGCGGCCAGGAATCTGGAGAAAAATGTTGCCAAAGGTGTCGCATCGAAAATAAGGTGAATAATCGCTGTTCCGAAGAATATCTGGTGAAATGAGTGGTCACACTGTAGTAAAATTGCTACAAATCCATTTTACAGGTATTCGCTCAGTTTGGGGAGCGGGTAGTTAGGGAAGCTCAAGTTGACAAGTCACACACAGTAAACCACGGATGTTTGCAATATTAGGAGCGAGGAGTAACACAGCAGAGTAGATATTGCCCTCCAGTGCTGTGTCCTGTAATAAGAGCATGCAATCGGCGTGAACGGATGGGTGCAGAAGACGAACCAAGCAAACCATTGGAAGTAGAGTCAACGGATTTGTCAAATGGACAAAGCAAGCAGTGTCAACCGCCTGCACAACCCTCCTGAGTGGGTTGGGTGGGTTCCCCCGTTGTTTGTTGAACTGGATCAAAGGGAGAATCACACCAGCTTAACAATGTCGTTATCAAGAGAGATGTCCGAACAACATACATCGAAGCGAGCTGTGAGCTAAAACGTCATTTTCGTTTATTTGGCTCTGCTGTGTAAATTGTCTGTCCCAGAAAAACTGACGTTGTGAAATTTTTACTGTATCAACTGGTGACCGATGTACTAGGTAAAATGTCATCGAAGAGCGCTTAATTAACCTTACCACATGGTGACAGCAGATCTGAAAGTGGACCATGTTTATGACTAGACAGGAATGTAAGGTGAGTAGAAGAGAACAAATAAGACATGCAGTTTCGGTGAGCAAGACTTACAATCTCCGTGTTTGAGCACTTAAATTTGCGCATCGTTAACTCCTGAAAGTTGCCCAAAGCTCCATCACAGCAAAGAGCCATGGAGATGAGGACTACGCCTGTGGGGAAAGAGAAATGGAGCTGAATGCCGTGTCCCAGATGCATCGGACCAGAGCAGAAGACGAGAAAGAAGTACATTTCAAGAACCGCGAAAAATGACATCTGAATATGCCGAAAAAGTGAAATCGCATTGTTACCAAGAAAAGGTTGGCAAAAATAAAAATACCCGAGAGAATGGTTGAGGCCACCCGGTTTCGGAATTGCCTGTTACTGTGGCCAGCCACAGGACGCCTGCACCTACAGAGGGACCATGGATGGCTTGCGCTATACCACCTACAGCTCCATCCACATACCCCATATTCAGTGTAAATCCGAATGAATAAGACCGGGAGGCATGTGGATGGGAGCTACGTTTCATCAACGGAGCCGGCCCACATTCCTTCACAGGCACGCTGTATTTGGGAATCAATCGCACATAAGGCGAAGTAAACTACAAGTAGCTTAAGCGACATGTGCAGTTTAATAGTAGTTCAGGTAGGCATTAATATGGGATAAAAAAAGCCTTAGGACAATATAGCAAACCCATCACCTGAAATAAAGAGACTCAGCATGCAAACAGTCGGTTAATAAATCAAATGCAGCGTATCTACCAACGCTGCGCCGGTTCTTCCTACGTACTCACCAGGACCCGTTGTGGTTTCGGTGTTGGCACCGAGCGGCATTGCTCATGGCTCACTAGGCCTGCCTGACTCACGCACTCGCGACCGCATGTGCTACAGCACCATGCGTTCGACGTCGATGGAGTACAACAAATCGGCGCCTGCCGCTTCTTCTCCGCATGCATGAGGTCTTTCGCCTGCACGTCGGCAACTGCCATTGTAATCAGATCGCGCCATGCACGCCGAGCAACCACTTTCGATTTCTACGAAGCGCAATCAAGATTAGAACGTGAGAGGCTCACTTTGATCATGTCCCGGTAACGTAACTTTGGTTTCCCTAAGTGCCGCTTCCTAATACTCAGCTGACCATAAGATAGCTCCTTCGGTATCCACCTCGAATCCATACGGCTCACATGACCGAGCCGCCTCAAGGATCGCAGCAAAAGTATGCAGTCCACTGCATACACACCACTTCGGCGCAACATTTCCGTGTCTGCAACTCTGTCGCCCCAGCCGATGCGCAAAATCCGTCCCAGACACTGCTGGTGGAACCGCTCGAGATATCGCACATCCCGCCGGTACATCGTTCACGTTGCACTGTCGTACAGAAGAACGGACAGACCATGGATGTGTACACCATCAGCTTTGTGCCAACGGTAAGCTGGTGGTTATTTCACACTCGATACTCAAGCTTCTCGAATGCCGCCGCTGCCTTCGAGACGCGGATACGAAGCTCACCATGTAGCTGCTGATCAGTCGACATCACACTCTCAAAGTAGCAGAAGCGGGAGGTGGTTTCCAACCCTTCGTCATCAATGCTGATTCGCGGCATCATTGTAGATTGCACATCCACTGAAGGCTGAAAGAGACAAACAATTTTGCATGTGTTGATGATGAGCCCGAACTTGGCTGCTGTTGGATACAGAACACTAGTCATGTGTTGCGACTCATTAGCGCCATGTGCAGGCAACGCACAGTCGTCAGCAAACAGTAATATACGGACAACTGTCACACAGACGAAAGTTCTCGCACCGAAACGACGGATGTTCAGCAACCCACCATCAATACGGTGCTCCACACGAACACCGCAAGCACAAGCTGCATCAAAAGCAAAAGACGTCATGGCATTAAGAGCAATAGTAAACAGAGCACGAGCTAAGACACAGCCTTGCTTCACACCAGAGACAACTGCAAAGTCATCTGAGGTCTCTCCACTTAGCTGCACACTCTCCCGCATACCACTGTGCAAACCTTCAATTAAACTTACGAATTTACTCGGACAACCAAACTTGCCCAACACCAGCCACAATGCCTCGCGGTTCACCGGATCAAATGCTTTGGCGAAATCAACAAACAGCGAGTACAAAGGCTGGTGTCGTTCTCTACACTTCTCCTGCAACTGACGAGTCGCAAACACCATATATATAGTGCTGCAACCCGAACAGAATCCACACTGCTCTTCCGTCACGTTCGGTTCCACAACCTGACTGACAAGGCAGTTGAGCAGGATTTAGGCAATTACCTTATCTACACAACTCAGCAATTTGATGCCACGATAATTCGTGCAACATTGCTTGATCCCTTTGGCATTGTACAGGGGCAGCACAAAGGCATTCTTTAGAACTGGAGGCACCTCCCCCTCAGACCACACGCGTTGCACCAATTGGTGCAGCGAAGTCACCAACGCGGGTCCGCCGTGTTCCAATACTTCAGGCGGGATCCCGTCGGCACCGGCACACTTACAGTTTCTCAGCTGAGCAAGTGCTCTCTGCGTCTCATCCAGTGTCGGCGTGTTCCCCAGACTCGCCTTCATATCATGCTGCATCAAGCGGTTCAAAGTAGGCCTGTCAATATCTGAACGGTTGTTCAAGAGACAGTCAGTGCTTTTTTCAGAGTTGCATTATGTCTGCAGTATGTGTGCAAGTAGCGTCTGAACTACCATCGATTAGCGTACTCAGCGGCTCCAACCTCGGAGGCAAAGAATTCCTTGTGTTGGTGGCGTCCGGCGTAGCGTTCCATCTGCTTCGCCTTCTCCGTCCCGAGAAGAGGTGCTTTTAATAACCACATATGTCATGACGACGGAACGCTGTCAAAAATGGAAGTTCAAAACTTGGAGGAACAAATAAATGCCGAGTATCGGACACCGTGCCATTAAAACGGCAAAAGGCAGCAAGGTGAAGATTAGCGTAAAAATCTGAACTCAAATATAAATGGAGGAGTGGAAATGGCATAGAATACAGTCTACTGGAATATGCTTTGGTATAAAGGAAGCACCCTGTAAAAGGCGACGTCGAACAAACTAGCTATACACTTACCCCATGCTGTGAAAAAAGGTTGAACGGCGACGTCAACCATTGTGAAAGACACCAGTCCAGCGGTCATTAGAAAAACAGCCGAAACCTCCAAGACGTTATATCCCTTGCCTGTAGGAAGCAATCAGAATGGAACTGATGACGTACGCTGAATAATCAGACCCCCAATCATTACGGGTATCAGTTTGCAGCATTTGAAGATAACCTGAGTGGGGTAGTTGAGATAGGAGACAGACGCGTTTGAGAACGCGATAGTTCCCAATGTGAGTAATGCCATCAGGCAATAGAAACCGAGTGCGGCCCTCGATCTGGAGCTAGGTGAACATAGCAAATATGGTTGCATACGTGCGGATGGAGATCCTTTGGTGACGCAGTTCGGAAAAAGCAAGCAATGAGTAAATTGTGAATTGAATTAGGGTAAGGAAGTTGCTGTGTTCCTTCATATCGGAGGAACGGAATATGGCTTCCTGGAAAAGAGAACAAAACAAAGATCGATGAAATGAACGCAGGAACGGTCATTCACATAGAAAGTGATAGATTGACACAAATCAGAGTACAATGTGCATGAAGGGAAAACAACCGGCTGCTACTAGCAGGCATGAAGTATGGTGAAGATTGTAGCTACAAAAAGTAGGAGACAAATGCGCGAACGAAGCAAGCAATAAGTAGACAGAAGGGTTACGAGGAAAGATGCAGAAAGTAAGACGACTTTCACGTGGCGTTGAACTTTCCAGCCTACCAATTAGGTAGGGTGGTAGTCGTTAGCGCTAAGTTAGACTCATGGGCACACTGACCAAGGAGCTTGATGACAAGACTGTTCGTGTTTGGAGTCAAAGTGATGTAGTGAGACCGGGATGTGTGGCCAACAAACTCAAATCTGTGGTCAGACTACAGACACGACCGGCTTCAAGTACTCAGATTAAAAGCGCTTCGACGGGTGAGTCATAATCAGCGAAATGAACTAATTTGGATAAGAAAGTCGGCAGTTAACCAAACGCATGAGCGCTATGGAATCCGCAACTTTGTCATATCAGACGATGGCTAGAAGCAGTGATGCGGCCAGACCGGTTGACTGGTACTCGGCTGGTTCATGTGTTCGGTTTGTAACAGACAGGTTGCCGGTTCGAGTCTGCATAGGTGCGGACGAGTTCCTAGTATCCACATGCGACTTGGTGGTCACGTGGCATCAAGATGACTTGGCCTCATATTATTTGTTGTACGTTGCATTTAACTTTATTCCAGATCACTTGGAAGTAACAGACTTTAGTGTCCCAACTAAGGGCAGGTGCTTCAAAACGGTAACAGAGAAGACCTGTTACACTGCCCTTCAAAACGTTCCACTCGACGTTCAGGCGAAGGGGTCCAATACTAGCAAATAAAATCGCCTATGTAAAATGGCCTCATGGACCTACTAAGCGTCGAGTAGCATGATGGAAGTTAGCACTTTGGTGAAATCAGTCTTAAAGCTCCTGCGACAACCCGAAACGAGGCAACCAGGCTTCTCGGAGTTAAGCAGGTGGATGGGTGACGTATTTCTGTGAAACAGATACGATTTGTGAAAGTTTGAACCGCTTGTAAATCAGATTTGGAGCACAAGAGTGGTCGCTGTAATAAGAGCAGAAAATGGAGGGGGGAAATGACCCGTTCGTAGAGAAGCCAATCTGACCGTCAGGTGTAGCATTTTGTACAACGATCTAATGGCTACTCCGCGTCACCATCATATTACAGATGGATATGAACTTGCGCACGGTGTCACATCTTCTACTCCCAAGTAGTTCGGAGGTCAGCTTTATCTACTAAAGGAGAATAAAGCCAATGTGCTCAACGACAAGCATACCCCGCCGTTGTCAGGGCACCGCAGTAGTAGTAGTAGCAGTAGTAGCAGCTGCAACAAAGAAAAACAGAACCTTTTGGGTTATTTTTTAATTTGCCTTTTTTCCTCTTTTAACCATTAGGCGTTAAGTACCTAAATGTAAAGAAGTATGTACAGATCTCTACTAATTTCGATTAGTTCAAACCATCGGCACTCTTCCTCTTCTGTTCCCCAACAACGAAGAGATGTGAATCCAACGGCAGCAAAACGTGAAATCAACGATTCCATGTGTCGACCGCAACTTTCAGCGAAGTCCTACATGGGCGAAAACGGCGCAGTAGGGTAAATGCTTAGCCGACCGAACCATCTTAAATGACGCATGAAAACCAGCTGGTTGAAGGGAATACTTGCAGTCCCTGAGATACAACGTCCGACTACACTGCTGCAAATAAGTTGCTGTCACCACACACTAGGGATGCCTCGTAAGCACGTATTGTCGAAGGCCAAGAGCCGGCGCATGGCATCCACGCGAACTGGCCACGTCTGGCTTCCTATAACAACCACACCCGAATTGTGGCTCTAAAAACGCGACCCTTCAAGAAGAGGGAGACATCCACGTAACGCCACAAGTGTTTCAAGTTGACAAACGCAGATCGGGCTTTGGCGATACGCAGAGAAATTGCTTTGTTGATAGCGCCACAAGGAGACATGCAGTTGCGTAGGTATACAAAGCTAGACACTTGTTTAGGCCGTGTATCTTCAAGAGTGAGCACGGGAACGGGCGAGTGCCAATCCTGGAGCAGCACTTACACTTCAACGCGGCGAAGCATATTCCGTACTTTGACACTTCAATTGGCAAACGGTTTAGAATGGTTTGCAAACCACTTATGCTGAATTGAACCGTCAGTTGAAGCTTAACTACCAATATCATCAACTAAGTCGAGATTTAGATTGCTGAGCAGCCGTTTACCTCGATCTATCAGGTCTAGCAACACTACGACTGAGTGAGATCTTAGGATCATCAGTCGAAACCGACGGTAAGAAACGGGCTTTCACTTAATGTCATCCACACCCAGTGGAAATGTCCCCGATCCACGCATCAACAATGTTCGTATCGTAACTAAACAATTTACTTTGGTACGACCAGCTGAGAGCCAACCCCATTATGGATGACTGAAGCTTCGACGACATACGAGGTCTAATGATAGGTGTAAAAATCCTCTTCTTGTTTAGCAACCAGAGGCGACATAATTGCCCACATAGATCAGGCGATCGGAAAAAAACCGATAGCGAGTGGATGATTCTGAGGATTTTGCACCTTGAAGAAGACACTTGGTATAAACATAACAGTTGACACGTTAAGAAATCGAAAAAAATGGATGCATACAGTACCATGAATGACCATATGTGATTGGACGGGAGATGAATCCACGGCAACAGTAGACATTACCTAGAATTACACATAAACGTGTAATCAGAGTGAGTAGTGGGAAATTGTGTTTCTGATAAAGTTCGAAGCAGGCAGACAGCCACCACACCTTCGGAAGGGCGCTAGACGGTCATTTCGTCAGTAATCCATACCCTTCGTATCCTGCTGGATCTGAACACAGTAGCTTACTCTCACGAGCCAGCGACTTAACTAACTGAGCCATGGGTAGCAGTGTGGAAACGCCGTAACTGATCCAGCCATAAATCCAGTAGGGTCCGGCGGCTGCGCGCTACTGACGTCCATCGTTTTTACAAATGTGCGGTGGCTGCGACGAAGATACCCAAAAGCATCCAGACATAAATTGCCAGATAACCAACGTTTATAAAAGTAGGGGTAAGCCACGACAAACGCAATTCCAATGAGAAACTCACTTGCAATGCGCCGTACATGATGTAGGTGACAAAAATGCCCAATACGCAAACCACAAACATGGTATTACGAGGAAGCAGTGAAAGATTAAAGCCGCAAATGAGAACATCGGACGACGATTTGGAAGCATCCGGTGTAGGGTTTGATAGGGGAGGTTTGTTCAACGAAGTAGGTACAAATTGTGAGTATTGGGAGGGTAGAGCCCCGCCATGGTCCATCACAGTGCATAAGCGAGCTAAAAAGAGAAGTTGTTTGTGATACAAAGCAGTACGTAAGTCAGAAGCACGTAAACAAAACCGCCGAGTGAAACAGGTTCAGAGCAGAGGGTCAGAGAACAATAGTCAGCAAAGGCAAAAGAATCACGCAGGCTATTAAATCTAGTTACGAGTAAGTTAGATAATGTAGGTAAAACGAGTAGAATGGAGGGGGCCAAGGCTGATATGGCGGTGCCAGTACTCATCACATCGGTCGCAGATCAACGATCTGAACGAGTGTTTCGGTCGAATACCCAACTCACACATCATTCAAGAGAAAAGAAACTTAGTCGAAAGCCAAGATAAGAAGGCGCTGCCTAATAGTCGTACCACAGATCCTGCATTATTGAGTTGGCTATTTCAATGCCGATAGAACGCAACTTCAAGATGGGTAAAAACAATGGAGATTTGGCTCACATAGTGGACAACAGATGCCACATGAAGTCGGATGACGGTGATGAGTGTTAAGCGGCGACATTTATTAGTGAAAAGTCTAACCGATCGAGAACAGAACAAGGGCTAGATTTGTGGGTATATAGCAAAAACAAAAGGGAAATCGACAGAAGTGTAAGAGCTGGGTTCCTGATAACACAAACTGAAATTGCCAAAAATGATCGCCTAACCCAAAAGCATTGACATAAATGACCTCGACAAGAGTAACGACAGTTATGTTACGGCACAAAATTACTGAGCCATTATCCGAGTAGAAGAACGGTCTCAGCTTCTAAGACACAGATACAGGTACTTTATTCCTTACGCACTGCAAACAGTGTCTGATGCTGAACAAGAAAATAACCCAGGTAGGAAGCAGTTATTCAAGCAAAGTCAGCAATTATAAGGTCACCCGAGGTAGAAACAATCAATCAATCAACAACAGCAGCCATTTGAACAGATGCTTCATTGCCGTACAACCACATTGACCTATGGAATAAAGAATAATGAGGGTGAGAAAAGGGAACTGAAGTAACACCTTAATACCCTAAGCAAACATTCATGATCAAGGGTCCTTGTATTAACAACATACTGTCACAAACAGGTGGCTGTCGTGCAAAGATAAGACGGCATCAGCGAGACAGCTTCTTTACTGCTTTCACTGCCCCGCGTCATAATCAGCTATTACCCCGCAGATAACTCAGGCCCGAGGTAAAGTGCGTATAAATTAGGCACCCTTTTCATGTAATAGATCTGAGCAAACTGTTAATGCATCTTATACGTCATAAATTTACAGTAAATTTAAAACCACCCATAAGCAGGTCAATAAACTTATTTGTATCACTAAAATATTAAGCCTTACACCCATTTCCCCATAACATACCAATTTTACCCCATGGTCGGGGGAAAATAGGCATACACCGGGGTAAATCGGGCATATCTCTTTCCAACAGTAATAACATCACCTTACAACAAAAGAATAAAGCAGGCGTTAACAAGTTTTGTACAAAATCAGGATATTGACAGAATTTATGAGTTCAGGACAATTTTTAGAATGTGTTTACTTTCTCCAATCTGCTCATTAGTTGTCGACAAGTTAAGGATAAAACTGGCATTCTTTAGACTTGTATTTTTAGATTTATTGATCTTATTTTCCGTATTTTCGTTAAGAAACCCGATTGATACCTCCTTTGTCGTAAATACTTCTCCAGGCATTGTCTGAACTCTCTCTTCTTTGCGAGCATTGCCCATGATTTCCAAGTTAATGGGCGAACATCTCGACAGGTGACTGAGTGGCATGCAGGTCTGGTTTGCAACCATAACGTCACCGGTTCGAAGCCACGTAGGGGCGGGCGTCCTCGCGGTATACTCAGCCCATGCGAGACTGGTGGTGGTCGCGTGGCAGCGAAGCGCCGTTGCTGTGTACAGCTGGCGATTTACTTATTACTTTACAGTGAAATCGTTGCTATTATCGTCTGCCGCAAAACTCTGAACGGTGAAGTCCAAGATTATTCGAAACATGTTGTGGCGTTTCAGATGTGCTTGATTGAGGAACATCAACTACATTACTTTGTGCTTCTGGTTCCACCACAGCTGTGACTGCAATAACGGCCTGACCGTCATCCACAGAAGTTATTATTCTGTGCTGAATGGCTTCTTTATTAACTGGATAGATCCCATTGCCTCTATATCCACTGAGAACATTTAGTTGCAGCAATCGGTCAAGCAGTTGTTTACCCATGGAAGGAAAAACTTCATTGCTAACTTTATGGAGTCCGATTTCTCGAAACTACGTCTTCAGAATTGACTCCTATGCCAACTTTAAAGGTTTAGAGACACCAGTGTCTAGTTGTTGGACTGCATAGCTAGTGTTTGGTGGCAGGCACATTTTCAAGCAGGCCTCTAGCAATATCTAAGACTGCTGGTGAATGTCTGGTTGTTGTTTTATGATTATAATTTCGAGACATCTGGCGCAAGTCCATCTGAAGTAGAGGTTATCTTGATTATTTCCATAAAACAAAATCAATATAGACGCAATTTTCATGTAATGTAGTCCATGATCATTAACTCACATTAGAATATAATAGTTAAGGCAGTGTGGGAGTTAAATAACATCAAACAAATTAGACCCAATAAACTTGTGTGTAGGTGCTCTGTAAAATAAAGACCTACTCCCTTTAACCCATCTAAGGCATTCAGAAGCTAGTTTTAAAATATAATTAAGTTCATTTCCATCTGTCTGTAAACTTAAACAAAACTGATCAATAATAGGTGGCACATACCAGTTTACATTTAATATTTAATTATTTGCAAGAGAAGTTTTATCTGTCGGTGGGGGCACATGAGGGCCATAAATAAGATGGCAGAGCTTCCTGTACAGCAAAGTAAAATATTACCAGATTATGCAAAATAGCTACAAAAGTCATTCAACTCTAAAAAAAGTCCGAAAATGTCCATACAACTGCAATAAATTATGTGATACGGATATTTTTTTATCTATATCTACACTCATTTCATCCATATGCCCATTTTACCCCGGGTGACCCCATCTCTTTTTAGCACGGCTGCCAATCATTTTCGTGTCACTTGTTTAAATTAAGAAATCGTGAACATACGTTTGAACGCGCTCGCGTCGTGCTGACCTCATATGGTGCTATTTGCGGATGCGTTGTTGGCTCATCTTTCGCAGCAGTCGGATGTACAGCTTCGAAGAAGCCGTCAGTTTTTGGCAAGGATAGCCGAGGAAAGGCATATACCAGATACATGCTTAATTGTTCTTCGACTGTGAGTTCTCGACTAGGCATGATTTGTCTCAAAACTCCAATTTTTCGCCTAAGGGTTCAGTAAAAATCGGCAGCTAAACGCCGTAGAAGCATTTCGCTGCCGCGCGACCACTACCAGTCGCGCACAGGCTAAGTGTAGCGCGAGGACGCCCGCCCCTACGCGGATTCGAACCGGTGACCGAATGATTGCAAGCCATGCGTGCAGGTCACTCGGCCAACGGCTGGTCCACTACAAGGCTGCTGCACATATTTACCTCGTTTTCACTATCGGTCCTTCTGGGTGACCGATGGCTCTTCATCTTCAATCATTTAAAGCTGATGTTTCCTATTTGACTTCGCACAATTCTTTCCTTAAGGTGCGTATACCATTCGTTATCTATCCTGGAACCACGTCAAATGGATTCAGTGAGCGAATAATAACCGGTTACCTCAAACGCGCCGGATCTTAGGTAGTAAACCTGAGGCCAACGGAAACCGCGGTTGCCACGCCTGTTAAAGTAGTCATATTTGTGATGAACACAGGAAGTAATAAATGTAAAACTGTCTCCATAGACCTCTTTTGCCTTCAAAAGTCATTCTGCACGTGCGTCTACAACCTCCATGCGAAGCGCGATAGTTTCGCGCATACTTACAGAAGAGATACCTGGACGTTGCTCAGGCTGTAAACCTTAGAGAAATGACGCTAACACCAGTCAAATTCGTGGAAACCGAAGTTCAGGAGCACCCAGGTGTCAAATTTGCATTCTTCAGTACGATTTCCACTAAATATTCTAAAAGTACTGCTTCTGCTTCCACCACGACGAAGAGCTGTATCAAATGAGTACACGCTTGGTCATCACAGAGTAAACATATTGAGTCAAACAAAGAAAACACTTTAAATTCAAATGGAGACAAGAACGAAAGAAGCCCATGGTCGCCCAAACTTGAATGAGTCGTTTATCTATGGTCAGTTATGGGAGTGAAGTCAGCAGCCACAAATCGCCACGTGGTCAACGAATCGAAATTCACGTCCTATACTAGCATACCCTACTGTGCCGGTGATGAACAATGAGAACGGGTAGAGTAAATTCGTAATCTAAAATACCATTGAAAGGTAAGGACGTAAAAACCAGTAGGAAGGGGGACCAAAAGACAATCCAAGAATAAACTGAGATGCGGAAGGGAAAATTCGAACTTGTAAACGATGTTTAAATTCCGCCAAAGTCGGGTACAATACATTGTTCTTGGGTAAAGCGTTCCAAGGGTCTATCACTAGGTGACAAGTCTGTATCAGACTGAACTCGCCCCACCAACATCCTGTCACGAGTTAGGTAGGGAGAGCAAGCTTGGACGCAGTACTTCAGATGCGGTCTGACAAAAGTTGTAAACAACCTGAAAAACATATTTTCCGTTATGATGCAAAATAACCTGCGGATCATCCAGAGGTTTCAGAAAGCCTTGCAGGTTTGCGTATTATGGTTCTCACTGGTTTTAAAGCCTATGACGTGACACGAAATGAAATAGTGGAGTGGAAAGTGAAGATTAAAAAAATTAGACTGGAGCTTGCGTAGAGAGCAATTCCACATCCGCAAAAACTTCATGGACGATCCGACCACAGTAATGCGTTACAAGGCAAAAATAGATCAATGTCTATGACTCGGCCCGTAGATTAAAATTAACTAGCTTGTCTTGTAATCTGACGGCGCGGGTTCGAGCCGGCGTAGGGGCAGGGTGACTTTCGCAGTATCCTTAGCCCATGTGCGATCGGTGTGCGCTGCAGAGAAGCGT